CTCTTTTAATGTTCCCAGCAAACCCGTAAGATGGGTACATTTGTTTGTTTGTTTGTTTGTTTACTTATTTGAAAGGCAGAGTTACAGAGAGAGAGAGAATCTTCTATCCTCTGGTCACTCCCCAAATGGCCACAACCAGGGCTGGGCCAGGCCAAAGCCAGGAGCCAGGAGCCAGGAGCTTCTTCTGGGTCTCCCACATGGGGCAGGGCCCAAGGATTTGGACCGTCTTCTACTGCTTTCCCAGATGCACTAGCAGGGAGCCGGATCAGAAGTGGAGAGGCTGGGACTGGAGCTGGGCCCATACGGGATGCCGGCTCTGGAGGCGGCGACTTTACCCACTGAGCCACAGCGCCGAGACCCAGGTGGGCATCTGTTGACCCCCATTTTGCAGAAAGAGGCCGCAGGGCAGTCACAGGGTTTACCCAGGTCTCTACCACTGCCAGTCCTGCCAGCGTTCATTCCCGGGTAGGCTGGCTGCCAAGCCACGCCTCCGTCGGTCATGTCGGGAATTAGTTGTGAGACTCGAAACTGGCGTCAGGGAGATGTCAGGAACCTGGGAGGGTGGCCCAGGCACGAAACCACGAGGGCCGCAGCAGGGACAGGGAGTCGCCGAGGACAGATTTAAGAGCTGTTGGGGACGTCGGGACCAACCACGAGGGAGAGGGGAGGCTGGGTGAAGAGGGGGCGCGAGGCGCCGGCGCAGACACGCTGGTGGGTCGGCGGCGGGGGCTGAGTGCAGCTCCGTGAGGCAGTGCAGCGGCCAGGGGATAAGTCACCGCCTGGTGCCTGCTTCCTGGGAGAGGCTGGCCCTGAGCCACAGCCTGCAGGGCGGCCTGCTCTCAGACGTGGGCTGTGGGAGGCGGGATGCCGGTGTGATGACGTGTCCGCCCTGGGGGAACCGGGCAGGGGCCGGCTGTGGACAGAGCAGGGAGGTGATGGGGCAGAGCGACACCACTTGGATGACTCCGCCCTCCTGAGCCTGGTCGGAATGAAAATCTTTACACGGTGTCGTAGACCGATGGCCAAAGCTGCTGCTTCCCCATTGCTCCTGCAAAGTCAGTTCAGAAAAGCCGGTGTCACGAGGCGATGCGTGCCTCCGACTCACGGCAGGGTCCCAAAGACCGTGTTCCTGGACACCTGGGATACCTGGACACCTGTGCTGTCGCCGTCGGTGTGCGTGTTGTCTCGGGGACGCTGGCGGCCGGGAGCAGGCGTGGGCTCTGGCGTCACACACTGCCCACGTGGCTGCATCGAGCCGGGTGCAGAAGCACGGGGCTCACTCCAGAAGGCTGTTGGAGGAGTAGGACCTGATGTCCGCTGAGCGTCATGAAGTTGCTCAAAAGTGCTTAGGGGCGTGTTCAGCGTGCGGGACAGGCGTTGGCACAGCGGTTAAGCTCCCGCCCTGCACTGCAGCGTCCCGGTCCATTACTGGCTGCACTCCCAGTGCCAGTGTCCTGACGTCGTGCACCCTGGGAGGCAGCTGGTGATGGCTCAAGCACTTGGGTCCCTGCTACCCCGGCGGGAGACCAGGATCGAGTTCCCAGCCCCTGGGGTCAGCCTGGCCCGGCACTGACAGTGCAGGCATTTGGGGAGTGGACCAGTGGACAGGAGGCCTCTCTGTCTCTGGAAGAGGCAGCAGCTGGGGATGAAGGCAGTGGCCTCCCGGGACGCAGAGAGGCCCCACCTGGAGCCTGTTCAGGAGCAAGTGAACGCTGAGGGCGGGGCTCGCCGAGACCCAGGAAGTCCTTCCGGCTCCCCCAGTCCTGGTTGGGAGGGTGCTGGGCCTATCCAAGAGCGCTGAGAAAGTCAGGAAGCCCCCCCCGCGTCCCAGAGGTGCCTGCCACGCCCTCACCTGATCTAACAGGAAGTGGGATGCGTCCACTTCCTCCCGTCCATGCAAAGGGAGAAGCGGCTACGCTGCCACTGCTTACTTCTGTAGAGTAGGCAGTCGGAGGGCAGATACTGCAGACAGAGGGGCCGGTACAGCCGCCACCCACCCACCTGCGACACCGGCATCCCTCATGGCGCAGGGTTGCGTCCTGGCTCCTCCACCTCTGATCCGGTTCCCTGCTAATGGCCTGGGAGAGCAGCGGAGGACGGCCCCTGCACCCACCTGGGACAGCAGCGGAGGACGGCCCCTGCACCCACCTGGGAGACCCCGGTGAAGCTCCAACTTTGGCCTGGCTCAGCCCTGGCTGTTGCTGTCACTTGGAGAGTGAAGCGGCGGGTGGAACATCTCTCTCGCCCTCTCTCTATAACTCTAGCTTTCAAACAAATAAATTAAAAACAAGGCTGCAGGTAGTTGACTGGCTCCAGGTTTGGAATATACATTGTTCACTAGGCTGTCGTGAGGAAGGTCTGCGTGACCTGAGCACCTCAGACAGTCTCTCTGCGACGGCACAGCGTGCGTGGGGCAGGAACAAGCCGCTTGTTACTTCCAGAGAAACGTGTGATTAGCCGGGGAGAAGTTAATGTTTTCCTTCCCCTGGCTGACGCTAGCTGAGTGGCGTAAAAGCCAGAACCCCCTAGGTAGCCGCGAGGCAGTTTAACCAGCGTCTCTACTCAGGAGCCGTCTGCGCCGTGCGGCTCGCTGCCTCCCTAACCCAGCCCGAGCTGTTCCAAGGTTGCCTTTGGCGAGGCCCACGGGGAAGTTACACACGGTGGGGACAGGCCTGCCTGTGCTCGAGTGCCGGCACAAGCAATGAAGGACCAGTTGGCTTTTTCTCAGCTGAACGATGGAAGCAGTAATGCCTGGCTCCTTCGGTGGGTAGCGGTGAGGACCCTCGGTAAACAGGCTGGGGGTCCATGCCCCTCGTGGAAGGCCCTCGTGCCTGGGCCCCGGGGCCTGGCCTGGCCTGGGACTTGAGATGAGACGACCGGCCGTGCTTTGTGACATGGCCCCACAGAGTCCCAGGGAAGACAAGAGCAGCCAGCCTCCTCGGCCCCTCTGCAGTGAGTGAGGGGCTTCAGTAGCTGCTGACCGGGCCATTTGCCCAGTCCCAGGCTAGAGACCGCCCTTGTCCCTGGAGTGGCTGGAAAAACAGCTGTCCCGTCCCCTGCACAATTTCCATCCCGAATGCGTCTGGGGTTTTGCAGCTGGCGGAAGCGTGCCCTAAAACCCTTGGCAAAGGCCTCGCGATCTCCCGGGAGCAAAGGTGCTACACAGGTCACTGGTAAGTGCACAGAAAGAGGAACCGTGCCAGAACGGCTTTTGGGGAGAGATAAACTCAACAGTTATCATGTGGACTTAAATCCTCCCTCTGGCAGTTGCTCCATTAGCCCTTGGCTTGGTCCCTTGCCTGTGGCTTCTGCTCAGAGCGGGGCTGAGCCGCCCAGACGTGGTATGCGGTGGGACAGCCCCAGCTGCATTCCCGGGCGAACACTCCTGCCCCTCCAAGTTGCCAGCCTCTTCCCCCGAGGTGTGTTTTCCACCCGTGCTGAAGTCTGCCTCCTCTCTGACTTGTGGCGGCTTGCCTCGTGCCCGGATAGACAGAAAGGACCCGTCGCTCCCTGCGGTGCAGTCCCGGGCAGGCCGGGGCACAGCGATGCCCTGAGTCTCATGAAGATGGGCTTGGCCCTGGCCAGTGCCCAAGGTCGCAACCTTCACATCTGCGCGTGTGTGTCACGGGGGCCTCAGCCGCGAGCTCAGCGGGTGCAGCCCCATCAGCCCGTGTCATGACAAGCAAGCAGGTTTGAGAAGAGGGCTCCTTCTGCCTGTCCGTGTCCTGTTTGTTAACCCCGGAAGCCAGTCAGGGCCGTGGTGAGCGGGGAGCATCCAGTAAGCTAGATGCCAGTGATTCTCAGTACCCGTCGTGGAGAGACGCGTGGTTAGAGACGCGTGATGGAGACGTGTGGGAGAGTCGCGTGGTTAGAGACGCGTGGTGGAGGGTCGTGTTGTGGAGAGACGCGTGGTTAGAGACGCGTGTGGAGAGACGCGTGGTGGAGGGTCGTGTCGTGGAGAGACACGTGGTGGAGACATGTGGGAGAGACACGTGGTTAGAGACACGTGGTGGAGAGACGCGTGGTTAGAGACGCGTGGTTAGAGACGCGTGGTGGAGAGACGCGTGGTGGAGGGTCAGTGCAGTGGGCGGGGAGTCTGCTCTGTGCTCGCAGCCCTGCGTGTTGAAGGATGGCCTAGCGCAGGGTGGAAGACCTCCTTGCCGGCCTCGGGAGCCCGCGGTGCCTGCCCCCGAGGGCGGTCAGTTACTAAGCAGAGCAGGGGGCTCTGTCCAGCCGGTGTGGTTGGACGCCGTGGGCTCCTCCTCTCATCCTGAGCAGATGGGCGGGCGGGCAGCGCGGCAGAGCGCTCCGCGGCTGGGCAGCTGGGCGGCTGGGCGGCTGTGCGGCTCCGCGGCTGGGTGGCTGTGTGGCTGGGCGGCTGGGCGGCTGGGCGGCTGTGTGGCTGTGTGGCTGGGTGGCTGGGTGGCTGTGCGGCTGTGCGGCTGTGTGGCTGTGTGGCTGTGCGGCTGGGCGGCCGTGTGGCCGTGTGGCTGGGCGGCTGTGTGGCCGTGTGGCCGTGTGGCTGGGCGGCTGTGTGGCTGGGCGGCTGGGCGGCTGTGTGGCTGGGCGGCCGTGTGGCCGTGTGGCTGTGTGGCCGTGTGGCTGGGCGGCTGGGCGGCTGTGTGGCTGTGCGGCTCCGCGGCCGTGCGGCTGTGTGGCTGGGTGGCTGTGTGGCTGGGCGGCTGTGTGGCTGGGTGGCTGTGCAGCTGTGCGGCTCCACGGCCGTGTGGCTGTGCGGCTGGGCGGCTGTGCAGCTCCGCAGCTGTGCGGCTGGGTGGCTGTGTGGTTGGGCGGCTGTACGGCCGTGTGGCTGTGCGGCTGGGTGGCTGTGCGGCTGGGTGGCTCCATGGCTGTGTGGCTGGGCGGCTGTGTGGCTGTGTAGCTGTGCAGCTGTGTGGCTGGGCGGCTGTGTGGCTCCGCGGCTGTGTAGCTGGGCGGCCGGGCGGCCGGGCGGCTGTGCGGCTGTGCGCAGCCCCAGCGTGCTCTGTGTCTCTTTCCAGCTTCGCAGTGCAACGTCAGCCTGAAGAAGCACAGGAACCGCAGCCTGCTCAGCTCCTTCTTCTGCTGCTTCCGGGACCACAGTGCGGAGGCCCCTCCGGCCAGCGGCCCCAGCGCGCTGCCGCCCCTGGTGGAGGAGAACGGCGGGCTCCAGAAGGTCAGTGCCGCGGGGGCTGCACCCGGCCCCGCTGCTGGCTGCATCCCTGCCCGTCCCCGGAAGGTGTCCTCGCACACACGCGCACATACAGGCATGCACACACACACGCACACATGCTCACACGCACAGTGCTGACGGGGGGCTGCGCCCAGCCCCGCTGGCGGCCGCATCCCTGCCCGTCCCTGACAGGTGTCCTCGTGCACACGCACACACACACGTAACTGGAGAGCACACTTAGTGGGAGTTATCAGAGTCACTTCACATTTGTATCACATCCTCTTTCAAGAAGTTGATGCGTGAAGTAGAGTTATAGACCCATTGGGGCTGGCACTGGCCTTTGTGGCGTAGCAGGTAAGGCCACCTCCCGAGACGCTGGCATTCTCTACGGACGCCAGTTCGAGTCCTGGCTGCTCCACTTCCCAACCAGCTCCCTGCTAACGCGCCTGGGAAGAGCAGTGGAGGAGGGCCAAGTCTTCGTGCCCTCCGATGGGAGACTTTGTGCCTGGGAGACTCAGATGAAGCGCCAGGCTCCTGGCTTCGGCCTGGCCCAGCCCTGGCCGTGGCGGCCATCTGGTGAGTGAACCGCTGGATGGAAGATCTGTCTCCATCTCTACTCTCTGTAACTCTGACGTTCAAAATAAGGAGCCAGTAGCAGACACACAAATGGAAACCAGGGAGCAAGGCACAGGGAAGAGCTGACCATCAATAGATCTGTAATGCAGTGTAGCTTCCTCGTGGAATAGCAGTCATGTGTTAATAGTCCCTTGTATGTATCAGATTTAAAAATAGAAGTCAGTGGCCGGCGCCGCGGCTCACTAGGCTAATCCTCCACCTTGCGGCGCCGGCACCCCGGGTTCTAGTCCCGGTCGGGGTGCCAGATTCTGTCCCGGTTGCCCCTCTTCCAGGCCAGCTCTCTGCTGTGGCCAGGGAGTGCAGTGGAGGATGGCCCAAGTGCTTGGGCCCTGCACCCCATGGGAGACCAGGAGAAGCACCTGGCTCCTGCCTTTGGATCAGCGCGATGCGCCAGCCGTGGTGGCCATTGGAGGGTGAACCAACGGCAAAGGAAGACCTTTCTGTCTCTCTTTCTCACTGTCCACTTTGCCTGTCAAAAATAAATAAATAAATAAATAAATAAATAAATAGAAGTCAGATCGTCACCACAGGTCAAGAACCAAAATCTCTCCAGGTGCTGATAGACACACCCCAGACAAAGGTGCACAGTGAGCAATGAGATTTATGACGACGAACCCAGTGCAAATGGTGGCAGCACAAACCTGTCAAAAGAGAATTCTGGGTAAAATCCGCTGGAAGAGGCAAAGGGGATTGTTTGCTTTAGGCTGAAGGTAGAGGACAGAAAGGTTAGAACACTTCATGTCCCGAACGCCAGGAGCAGGGCGGGAAGACAGCTGGTCAGGTACGGGAGAAGCGGGGAGTGCTGCACGTGGTTAGCAAAGAAGTGCAGGCCAAGACCACGGCACCTTGGCCGCCAGTCACATCACCAAACCCTCCTGCAGGCGATGTTTGGATTTAGCTCGGGGTGGCAGGGGCAGGTGAGGGTGCCGGGTGGTCGTGGGTAAGAGTGCGGCTTGGGTACAGCTCCGCTGGTGACCGTTTGGCCACCTGACCTCCACTGCTGTTTTGTTTTGGTTATTCAGTGCCATACTTGTACACTGTTACGGGGCACATCAGTTTTCAACAAGTGTACCCAGCATAAGCTGACCCAGCAATAATTCCTTACACCTTAAACCTGTCTCTGGCTGTCAGTCAGGCCGGTCCACTTTATGGACGAAACTGGGCAGCACCGGGCCTGGCGTTGTGGCACAGGGGGTGGACTGCTGCTCGAGACGACAGCATCCGACCCTGGAGAGCTGGCTGGGTCCTGGCCGCACTGCTTCCCACCCACTCCTGGGGAGGCAGCGGAAGACGGCCCAGTGCCTGGCCTCTGCCACCCCGCTGGGGGACCAGAGAGCTCCAGGATGGTGCCAGCCTGGCTGGGGCGGCCATTTGGAGAGTGAAGCAGCAGATGGAAGACCTCTGGCTCTCTGCCTTTGAAATAAACAAATCGACAAATCCTTTTTTTAATTATGAAGTGCAAAGACTTAGCTGTAAGATGTTACAAACCTGTAAGTAACCTGGCGTACAACAGCAGGTGGTTTATTAAAAGGTCTGCAGAGCTGCCAGCGCTGTGGCACAGCGGGTTAATCCTCCACCTGAAGCGCCGGCATCCCATAGGGGCGCTGGTTCAAGTCCAGGCTGCTCCTCTTCCAATCCAGCTCTCTGCCGTGGCCTGGGATGGCAGTGGAGGATGGCTCAGGTCCTTGTACCTGAGGTCCTTGTCTCCTTGTGGGAGACCTGGAAGAAGCTCCTGGCTCCTGGCTTTGGATCGGCGCAGCTCCAGCTGCTGCGGCCATTTGGGGAGTGAACCAGCAGGTGGAAAACTCTCTCTCTCTCGCCCTCTCACTCTCGGTAACTGTGCCTCTCAAATAAATAAATCTTTAATAAAGAAGATGAAATAAAAGGATTGCAGAATCACCATACCGTCAAGTGGCCATTAAAGTGACATGTTTAGAGTCAGGTCACAACTAACACGGAGAGGGAGAGACGTTCAGAGTGCACCATTTAGTGAAAAGTAATACGATAAGGTTGGTATATTCAAAGTATTTATAGAGTCACATAGACACAGACAGTTGGAAGGCTGTATGTGTGGCGAAATGTGAAGAGGTGGAGTTGTGTGCAGGATTTTCCTCTCTCCTCCGTGCCCTTCCACAGTGTTCATAAGTCAGTTTGCATTTATGAAGGGTGCACTCACTTCACGTCCGTGTGGACGTCCGTGTGGTGCAAGGAGCTGCACTCGGGGGAGGGGCCTGGGCACGTGGGTGACAGCAGAAAGTCCTCTCTGAGCCCAGCAGGGAGACACGAGAGTGCTCGGTGTCAGTCCTGGCTCTGACTCTTTTTGTTTTGTTTTTATTTTGACAGGCAGAGTTAGTGAGACAGACAGAGAGAAAGGTCTTCCTTCCGTTGGTTCACCCCCCAAACGGCTGCTACGGCTGGCGCTGCGCCGATCCGAAGCCAGGAGCCAGGTGCTTCTCCTGGTCTCCCATGGTGTGCAGGGCCCAAGCACTTCGGCCATCATCCACTGCCTTCCTGAGCCACAGCAGAGAGCTGGCCTGGAAGAGGGGCAACCGGGACAGAATCTGGCACCCTGACCGGGACTAGAACCCGGTGTGCCGGCGCCGCAAAGCGGAGGATTAGCCTAGTGAGCCGCGGCGCCGGCACCAGCTCTGACTCTTGAATCCGGCATCCGTCAGCGCAGACCCTGGAAGGCAGTGAGGATGGTGCAGGTGCGGTGGTGCCCGGCCAGATGGCGTAAGAATCTGGAGAGTGAACTCACAGATGGCACCTTCTCTCTCTGTCTCACTAGAGCGCGCGCTCACTCTCCCACACTGCCTCAACATCTAAAAATTATTTTTTAGTTTGCAAAACAGAAACTTCCTTTTTGAAAACCCAGGTGGGTCTGCTGCAGAGCCGGGCCAGGCTCGGGGCACCGCCTGCTCTGCAGAAGCAGAGAGAGGCCAGCGCTTGCCTCCCGCAAGTCCAGGGACAGAGACCTGAGGTGCGTCCTGGGAAGCCAGGCAGCCAGCGAGAGCCCGTGGGCCCCTGGGAAGGGCCCGTACCGCCCCCGTGGAGTGTGTGCTGGCTGCGTGGCTGTCAGTTCTTTCTTTTTCTTTCTTTCTTTTTTTATGTGTGTATTTGAAAGGCAGCGTTAGAGAGCTTCCATCCACTGGTTCACTCCCCAGATGACCACAATGGCCAGGCCAAAGCCAGGAGCCAGGAGCTTCTTCCGGATAGGTGGCAAGAGCCCAAGGACTGAGCCGCCAGCTGCTGCCTTCCCAGGCGCATCAGCAGGGCGCTGGATGGGAAGTGGAGCAGCCGGGACGCGAACCAGCACTCGCAGGGGACGCGGGCACTGAGGGTGGCCCGGCTTTCAGTTCTCATGCCCTGGAAGGGCCGGCAGCACAGGGCTTTCTTCGTCTGCTTTGTCAGCTGGGGCTCTGCTGGGCCACGCACGCTGCACGCCCTGGAGACCCCGAGCGGAACGCGCAGGCTCAGCAGGGAAAACCCCTGAGAGGGCAGCCCTGTAGGAAGAGCCGGAGCTCAGCAGGTCACCGGGAAGTGAGCGGAAGGGGAAGGCGACTCCTGGAACTGAGAGAAACCGAAGGCCTGGCTCCTGGATATAAACGTGGAGCAGACGAACCAAGTGCAGGAGAAGGCGGGCCCTTCTGGGGAGCACGGTCCAGGCTCAGCGGAAGCCACAGTCCAGACGAGGGGGCGGGAGCCGCCGGAGACCTCACGCGCGGTGGAGGGCTCCAGAGGAGAGGACCCTGGAAGGAATTTCTCTTGAGCTGAAGACGTGTGACTGTGCAGACTGAGAGGGGTCCCGCGGCCCCGCAGGCAGCACAGGCCCGGGTGTGCTGTTGGAGAGAACGTTCTAGAAGCTTCCAGAAGAAATGACCGTCAAAGAAAATGGTCATACCAGTGTCAGACTTCTCACCATCAACACTAAAAGCCAGAGACAGAGAAAAAAGTTAACTGCTGTGAGATAAGTATTCAGCCCTGCGCTCTTCAAGTGACCACGGGGCACAACCTGTGGGGGACCAGCACACTGTCATACATGAGGGGGAGCACATGACCACGGGGCACTTACCTGTGGGGGACCAGCACACTGTCATACATGGGGGGGAACACATGACCACGGGGCACTTACCTGTGGGGGACCAGCACACTGTCATACATGAGGGGGAGCACATGACCACGGGGCACTTACCTGTGGGGGACCAGCACACTGTCATACACGGGGGTGCACATGACCACGGGGCACTTACCTGTGGGGGCCAGCACACTGTCATACACGGGGGAGCACATGACCACGGGGCACTTACCTGTGGGGGACCAGCACACTGTCATACATGAGGGGGAGCACATGACCACGGGGCACTTAC